CCCTGTGTGGTTCTGGGATCTCACCGTTGTGATCATTTTGGCCCCCGGGGTGAGGTCTTCTGTGGAGACCTCACCCCGTGGATTCTTCAATCCATGCTGCCCAGCACACGCTGCCAGATTGTTTCCGTCTATTCAGCGGTACAGACCAGAGAGCCTCACAAACCTACTTGTGAATCTTTGCTTCTTTCGACTGATTTGAGTTTTTTGTATTTTGCCAGATTGCCTGCCTTCTCCAGTGGACTGCTCCTAGCCAAGCCAAGCCCAGCCAAGCCACACCAAGCCAAGAGTTTTTTCAATAAATATTTTTTCTGTTTCTCTGCTTTGGGGTCCTTTGCATTCCCATAACAGAACAATCTGGCCAATTATGGACCCCGCAGACACTGAATCCATCGTCAAGGCTGTTGTATCCCAGGGACAAACATTAGGACGACATGAAGAAGGACTCAAAGAAATTGCTGAGACTCTGCAGAGACTCTCCACTTATGTCACTGATTTGGGGAATCAGCTCAAGATGGTTTCCAACCAGCAGACCCCATCCCCCGCTACAGCCTCCACCAGCATGGCTGCAGGTGCTACACAACCCACACCAGGAGATTTTCGACCTCAAGCATCACGTGAGCCATTTATACCCACTCCTCAGCCATACTCCGGGGACTTGGGGACCTGTGAAGCGTTTTTGTTAAAATGTGATTTAGTTTTCGAACAGCAGCCATTGACCTATGTTTCAGATCGTTCAAAGATAGCCTACATAGTGGGGTTGTTAACGGGGAAAGCCTCAGAATGGGCCACAGCTGCCTGGGTCAGCCAATCACCAATTTGCCATTCATATGCCCACTTCACTGACGAAATGAAGCGCATATTCGACCACCCAATTCAAAGTAAGGAAGCCGGTCAACGCCTTTTTTCACTCAAACAAGGCTCTAATTCAGTTGCCCAGTATGCTTTGAATTTTCGCATTGCGGCTGCAGAAAGTGGGTGGGATTCCAAGGCTCTTCAAGGAGCATTCTTTCATGGACTTAATGAGGGTATAAAGGACGAACTTGCTGTGAGGGACGAATGCTCAGACCTTGAATCTTTGATTTCTTTGACAATCAGATTGGACAACAGATTAAGAGAAAGACGCAGAGAAAGGATTTCACGTGGTTTCAATGCTACACTGCCACCTCCTGCTTTTCCCAAGCTCAATCAAGAAAGTGCTGCACAATCTACTAATCACGTTGAAGCCATGTTACTTCGAACATCAAATCCCCGCCACGCATGCAACTACAGTCTGTGATCCAACTCAATGGTGAGTCATTACCTATTTGTTCACTCATTGATTCTGGATCTGATGATAATTTTATTGACTATGATTTTGTCAGAGACCATGGTATTCCCACTGAATCCCTGGAGAAACCCAAACCAGTCAAGTCTGTTAATGGCAGCCTAATCGCCAATGTTACTCTTCGCACTAAACCTCTAACTTTAGTCTTATCGGCCCGGATCAAAGAACACTAAACCCGATGCACTCTCTCGAATCCACACCCCTGATAACCCTACTGCCTCTCCTGAAACAATTATCCCTCCTTCCTGCATCTTGGCTGCCGCACATTGGGACATTGAAAGAGTGGTGAACGAGGCCCAACAGTTGGACCCAGACCCAGGAAATGGCCCACAAAACCGCCTCTACGTTCCATCTGCTGTCCGGTCCAGAGTGCTCCAGTGGGGTCACTCCTCGAAGCTTGCATGCCACCCAGGTATCGCTCGCACACTATCATTCATTAAGGAGCACTTCTGGTGGCCAACTATGGGACCGGATGTACGTGAGTTTGTTTCTGCATGTCATGTCTGTGCCCGCAGTAAAAGTTCGCACTTGCCTCCAGCTGGTCTGCTGCACCCTCTCCCTGTGCCTTCTCGCCCCTGGTCCCATATTGCAGTGGACTTTGTTACTGGGTTGCCACCCTCTGAAGGTAACACTGTTATTTTGACCATTGTGGACCGTTTTTCCAAGGCAGTGCATTTTGTGGCTCTTCCTAAACTCCCCTCTGCCATGGACACTGCTAATGTTCTAGTTAGAGAAGTATTTCGTTTGCATGGCATCCCAGTTGACATTGTATCCGATCGTGGTCCCCAATTTTCTTCCCAGGTTTGGAAGTCATTCTGTCGAACTCTGGGTGCTTCTTCCAGTCTCTCGTCAGGGTTTCATCCCCAATCTAATGGTCAGGCGGAGCGTGCCAACCAGGATTTGGGTACGGCTCTTCGGTGTGTTACATCTCGCCATCCGGCTGCTTGGTCAACTTTCCTTCCGTGGATTGAGTATGCCCACAATTCCATGGTCAGCTCGGCGACTGGTATGTCCCCTTTCATGGCATCTCTGGGCTACCAGCCTCCGTTGTTTCAGGCTCATGAGGAGGAAGTGGCGGTTCCTTCAGTGGATGCTCATATAAAGCGCTGCGGGGGCATCTGGCGTGCGGTTCGAGCAGCTCTGGTTCGCACTACGAGACGTACCCAGTCCACGGCAAATAGGCATCGCGTCCCTGCACCTGTTTATCAGGTGGGTCAGAAGGTCTGGCTCTCTTCTCGGGACCTTCCTCTTCAAGTTGAGTGCAAGAAACTTGCTCCGAGGTATGTGGGACCTTATGAAGTTGTCGAGATTATCAATCCTGTTACGGTCAGGCTCAAGCTGCCCACTGCCTTGCGTGTTCATCCGGTGTTCCATGTGTCCTTGCTTAAGCCGGTTCAGTCCAGTTCTTTGTCCCTGCCTGCCGAGCCCCCTCCTCCCGCCCGGGTTGTTGGTGGTCATCTTGCCTTCACGGTCAGTCGGATCTTGGACGTCCATCGCCGGGGCCGGGGTTTCCAGTATTTGGTCGACTGGGAGGGGTATGGCCCGGAGGAGAGGTCTTGGGTTTCTCGTGGCTTGATCTTGGACCCCGGCCTGCTTCGGGACTTCTACGCCCGTTTTCCCGACCGACCTGGCCGGACGCCAGGAGGCGTCCGTTGAGGGGGGGGTCCTGTTATGTTTGCCCCTTGAGGCTTGTTTTGTTGTGTTTTTGTCTCCCTCTGGTGTCTGCAGGCTTGGTGCATGGTGGGAGCGGTCCCTGGGCAGGCACACCTGAAACCTATTCCAATCATCACTCCTTTCTTCAATCCATGCTGCCCAGCACACGCTGCCAGATTGTTTCCGTCTATTCAGCGGTACAGACCAGAGAGCCTCACAAACCTACTTGTGAATCTTTGCTTCTTTCGACTGATTTGAGTTTTTTGTATTTTGCCAGATTGCCTGCCTTCTCCAGTGGACTGCTCCTAGCCAAGCCAAGCCCAGCCAAGCCACACCAAGCCAAGAGTTTTTTCAATAAATATTTTTTCTGTTTCTCTGCTTTGGGGTCCTTTGCATTCCCATAACATTATCAGTGTCTTGTATGTCTTCCATGGTCTTACTATTTGCTCCCACAGTTGATCTCTTCACATCGAGCTGCTTACCTGTTGCAGATTCAGTCTTCCCAGCCTGGTGCAGGTCTACAATTTCGTTTCTGTTGTCCTTTGACAGCTCTTTGGTCTTGGTCTTAGTGGAGTTTGGATTGTGACAGTTTTAGGTTGCGGACAGAGGAGCCTCCTAAAGACGGAGCTACAGTCTGTGACAGTTTGGAGGTGACCACATTCTTATTTCCCACAATCCTTTGCAAATACATCCTTTGAAAATCAGACAATGTGATTCTCTAGATATTGTTTTTCTCTTTATACAACAAATTATTATTGTAATATTGATTATTTATAATGCTAAATCTAGAGAGTTTAAAGCTTCTTCCTGAGTTTGGACTTGCCTGGCCTGTATCCTCCAGTCATACCACCATGCTATCATGCTAACATGCTAATATGCTAGTGCGGTAGGTTTTGGAGGGCTGCTCTCTGTGACTATATTTAGCCATAAACTATGCATGACCCATACAGTAGAATTATGGAGTCAGCCTGATTTTCTGTGACACGTCTCAGTGAAAGAACTCATAATATCTCCCACATCTCTCTGCGCTGCGTGCTCCGGCAGCATTAGCTCAGTGAACGCACACAAACAGCAGAACATGCAAATGCAGGAGGACAGAACATGCTCGGTCTGTGGCAGAGTGAGAACACATGTTTTATTCAGAGCATTTGTAACTCTTCAAACTCATTCAGCTCAATGTATTTGTGTTTAAGCTTAAGTAAAAACAGCAGACGTCTCAGAGGAAAAGAGGAAAAATAAGAAAAACAAACACAAGGGAAAGTAGACCCAGGACTGAGGCTGTAGACCCAGGACTGAGGCTGTAGACCCAGGACTGAGGCTGTAGACCCAGGACTGAGGCTGTAGACCCAGGACTGAGGCTGTAGACCCAGGACTGAGGCTGTAGACCCAGGACTGAGGCTGTAGACCCAGGACTGAGGCTGTAGACCCAGGACTGAGGCTGTAGACCCAGGACTGAGGCTGTAGACCCAGGACTGAGGCTGTAGACCCAGGACTGAGGCTGTGGACCCAGGACTGAGGCTGTAGACCCAAGCTGAGAAGAGGTTGGACGGTGAATGCAGTTCCTGAGCACAAATTGTTTGATTTTCTCTTCTGTTGTTGGTGAATCGACAACTTTCTAAAGTCGTCCAAAACGCTGCTGTTGTGAAAGAGGGCTGTACAAAAACACATTGAATTGAATGAAAAGGAAATGTGTTTTTACAGTATTTTCATTCCACATGATCAGAAAAAACAGAAAAACAGCAGAATAGTCCCTGTGCTCCTCAGAGTCCCAGCAGGAGGCCAGTCCCTGTGCTCCTCAGAGTCCCAGCAGGAGGCCAGTCCCTGTGCTCCTCAGAGTCCCAGCAGGAGGCCAGTCCCTGTGCTCCTCAGAGTCCCAGCAGGAGTCCAGTCCCTGTGCTCCCCTCTCCTCTTACGTAACCCGCTCTGGCCGATAATTAGTAGGAGTCTCGGCCCACGCTGGTGGAAAGTCCCTGGTGGGAAACTGTACAGACTTTCTACACCCAAAGTAGATTAATGGGTCAGTTCAGGAAGGGTTCAAGTCCCGGTTCAGGCAGAGTTCAGCCCAGTGCGGGGAGGGGCACCGCCACAGACCTCCACACGGCATGAAAAATGCATCATAGGTACAGCGAGCTAAAGACGCTTGTTTACTGTCACCACATCAGACTCTTTAAACAGATGGTTTATTTAGACCATAATATAATCAATGACAGTCCTGGGTCTACAGCCTCAGTCCTGGGTCTACAGCCTCAGTCCTGGGTCTACAGCCTCAGTCCTGGGTCTACAGCCTCAGTCCTGGGTCTACAGCCTCAGTCCTGGATCTACAGCCTCAGTCCTGGATTGCCTGGCATAATCAGGATTGTGCAGGACGTGGTTTCACTGGAGAATGTCCCCAGACAACTTTGGAGACAATACATTGGTTTAAAACGGCAGAAAAGGTCACCGCATCCACAGAAGCTCGGTGTCTGTGCAGCTCTAATGTGGTTTGGTGATAATGTGTGGTAATGGTGCTTTCAGATCGCAAACGCTCAAACGCTGAAGCCCCGCTCACCAGACGAGCATTCTCTAGTTTTCAGACGCAGGGGTCTTCACACCAGAACGTCCTGACCATAGACAGTATTAACAGACAGAGTCAGTATCTCCGCCGTTCTAACTAATGGGCCAAAAAATGTGCTCTACTGGAGCAATCCAAAATGGCCGCGAGTGGTCCCGCCCACAAGAAAATTGTGAAAAAACGCATCAGCGCATGTGTCAGCCGGCGCAGCTCTATTCATTTGAACGAGTGACTTCAAAACTAGACTGGTCCAGAACTCTCAGCATTGACACACATGTGGAACGGAGCTTTGGGCCAAGAGACAACTTTTGGACCATCCTGTAAAGACGTTTTCGAGAGGTCTGCCGATGCTATATGTTAGCATTGGCTAATTCTTCTTCTGGGTCCACCCCCACAGGCCCGGGGTGGTACTGCAGCATGTCAGTGCACTTCATTTTTGCCACTTTTGAGCCGGGACCCGCCCACACTGCAACTGACCAGCACCGAAAGTGGAGGAAGTAGCCGGCCGGCTCTGATGCTAACAGAGTTATGCTAGCGTCTTCTTGGCACAGTGGCTGAGTGGATAGCACTCTCGCCTCTCAGCAAGAAGGTCGTGGGTTCGAATTTCGGTCGGACCAGGGTCTTTCTGAGTGGAGTTTGCATGTTCTTCCCGTGTCTGCGTAGGTTTCCTCCGGATACTCCGGTTTCCCCTACCACTAAAAATATGTACAATAGTTCTGGCATGCGCATCTCTGTGTGGAGTGAGAGACAAGTGCCCAAAAAAAAATTACAATTGTAAACCGCTTTGAGACTCTGGTCTGAAAAAGGCGGTATATAAATAAAGATTTGCTTTATTCAAAGCAAACCTGTACGCACTGAATGACTGTGAACGCTGTAAACTGTGAGCGAGAGTGAATGATAGAAAGTGCTTTTATGATGTAAGCGTTTATGTATTATTCTGTATATATTTTATGAATTCTTTTAAGTATAACATCAACCTGTCCAGGGACTGCGGGTGGAAATTAGCATTTTTGCTATAACCTGGCACATGACATCTCTTCTTTTTTAGACTAATGTTGTTTGTGCATTGTCCCTGATCAAATAAATAAAGTAAACTAAAACGTACTTACTTGTGTACAGATCTTCTCCAATAATTCAGCTTTGTAGGGTGTCTGTGTTCAGAGACCTTCCACGGACTTCATATAACAGCAGTATGTGTTCACGGAGACTTCATATAACAGCAGTATGTGTTCACGGAGACTTCATATAACAGCAGTATGTGTTCACGGAGACTTCATATAACAGCAGTATGTGTTCACGGAGACTTTATATAACAGCAGTATGTGTTCACGGTGACTTTATATAACAGCGGTATGTGTTCACGGAGGTGACTTTATATAACAGCAGTATGTGTTCACGGAGACTTTATATAACAGCAGTATGTGTTCACGGAGGCTTTATATAACAGCAGTATGTGTTCACGGTGACTTTATATAACAGCAGTATGTGTTCACGGTGACTTTATATAACAGCGGTATGTGTTCACGGTGACTTTATATAACAGCGGTATGTGTTCACGGAGGTCCGCAATAAGTTTATTTTAATATTGAACTGTATTTCTGCATCGGCGAACACGCTAGAAGCAGTTGCATAAAGTCACGGGAGCCTGACAATGCATATGTTCACAAGCACAGAGTCCCCCATTGTCAACCCTGGTTTTAAGTCGAGGTGTAGCTCCTGTTTACAGTATGTTCAGTCTGCTCGCTCAGTCCACTATTGTCCCCGTGACCACTTTGCAGCTCTCTGATTGGTCGCTGCACGAACGTCCCAAGGAAAGGTTGAGCAAAGTTTAGCTCCTGTGGGCGTCGATTTTCCACTCCTGCTCCTCCCCTTTGACTTTCCCGTGCAGTCCGTGCGTCTCTCCTGAACAGTCCGTGCGTCTCCCAAGATGCATCACCATTGACTTTGCATTAAAAGCCGAAGCAGCATGATCCGGTCTGAAAGCACCGTAAAACTTTAAAATAAATCTAAGACACATATGAAGCCACCGGAGGGACACGGGGGTGATGTGCTCCCTTCTGCTTCAACCAGTGAGAGGTCGGGCTGCTGCGTGAGGACCGGGTTTGAGGACCGGGTTTGAGGACCGGGTTTGAGGTTCTGTCACACAAACTGTCACTAAGATTTACAATGTTTTGGAGAAACCAGATTTTTTGATTCCCCGTGAGGCTGCATAGGGGGGAGACAGAGAGGGCGGAGTCAGAGGGGGAAGACAAAATACAATTTATTCTTGTATAGCCCTAGATCACAACAGTATCATCTCAGAGACTTAACAAAACCATTGAAATCACCACAGATCAGAGAATCAACAGTTAAAACACATAAAGAATATAGAACACGTGTTGATAAATGTCATACATGTAGAATGTTAAAGTGTCCTGGATCATCACAGTCCTTCTAGTTGGACACTAACTGTCCAACAGACCCTCCTGCATCAGAGGAAAAACCCATGGTTTGAGAAAGGGATCCGCTCCCACGGACGGACGGGCTGTAGACCCAGGACCTAAGCTGTGAGTGTTTCAGTGCAGGACTGAAGCACTCCCAGGCGGGTCGGGCGGGGCAGTCCGCAGGTGTAGATGGAGGAGGCCAGGCTCAGAGGTCCCGTCATCGTACCATGAAACAGACAATGGGACAACGGGTGAATAGCAATGAACAAACTACAGAGGAGAGGGTGTGTGACGGGACAGAGGGGGGAGACAGAGGAGGGGACGGAGAGGGGGAGGCAGAGGAGAGGGTGTGTGACAGGACAGAGGGGGGAGACAGAGGAGGGGACGGAGAGGGGGAGGCAGAGGAGAGGGTGTGTGACAGGACAGAGGGGGGAGACAGAGGAGGGGACGGAGAGGGGGAGGCAGAGGAGAGGGTGTGTGACGGGACTGAGGGGGGAGACAGAGGAGGGGACGGAGAGGGGGAGGCAGAGGAGAGGGTGTGTGACGGGAAAGAGGGGGGAGACAGAGGAGGGGACGGAGAGGGGGAGGGTGTGTGACGGGACAGAGGGGGGAGACAGAGGAGGGGACGGAGAGGGGGAGGCAGAGGAGAGGGTGTGTGACGGGACAGAGGGGGGAGACAGAGGAGGGGACGGAGAGGGGGAGGCAGAGGAGAGGGTGTGTGACGGGACAGAGGGGGGAGACAGGGGAGGGGACGGAGAGGGGGAGGCAGAGGAGAGGGTGTGTGACGGGACAGAGGGGGGAGACAGAGGAGGGGACGGAGAGGGGGAGGCAGAGGAGAGGGTGTGTGACGGGACAGAGGGGGGAGACAGAGGAGGGGACGGAGAGGGGGAGGGTGTGTGACGGGACAGAGGGGGGAGACAGAGGAGGGGACGGAGAGGGGGAGGCAGAGGAGAGGGTGTGTGACAGGACAGAGGGGGGAGACAGAGGAGGGGACGGAGAGGGGGAGGCAGAGGAGAGGGTGTGTGACGGGACAGAGGGGGGAGACAGAGGAGGGGACGGAGAGGGGGAGGCAGAGGAGAGGGTGTGTGACGGGAAAGAGGGGGGAGACAGAGGAGGGGACGGAGAGGGGGAGGGTGTGTGACGGGACAGAGGGGGGAGACAGAGGAGGGGACGGAGAGGGGGAGGCAGAGGAGAGGGTGTGTGACGGGACAGAGGGGGGAGACAGAGGAGGGGACGGAGAGGGGGAGGCAGAGGAGAGGGTGTGTGACGGGACAGAGGGGGGAGACAGGGGAGGGGACGGAGAGGGGGAGGCAGAGGAGAGGGTGTGTGACGGGACAGAGGGGGGAGACAGAGGAGGGGACGGAGAGGGGGAGGCAGAGGAGAGGGTGTGTGACGGGACAGAGGGGGGAGACAGAGGAGGGGACGGAGAGGGGGAGGCAGAGGAGAGGGTGTGTGACGGGACAGAGGGGGGAGACAGAGGAGGGGACGGAGAGGGGGAGGCAGAGGAGAGGGTGTGTGACGGGACAGAGGGGGGAGACAGAGGAGGGGATGGAGAGGGGGAGGCAGAGGAGAGGGTGTGTGACGGGACAGAGGGGGGAGACAGAGGAGGGGACGGAGAGGGGGAGGCAGAGGAGGGGGAGACAGAGGGGGAGGCAGAGGAGGGGGTGTTTGTTTTAGTGACGGTCCTGTTGTACATGGCCCCATCATCGTCTCTGAAATATACATCATGTGCTCAGTGAATAATACATACATGATCAGCATGAGGCAGGACACGCATGACTTATGCAGGAGACCACTGCACAGGCCTGGGACAGGGGGGAGGGGGGGGACAGGGGGGGAGGGGAGAGAGAGGACAGGCGGGAGAGAGAACAGAGGGAGGACAGAGAGAGAGGACAGAGGGAGAGAGGACAGAGAGAGAACAGAGAGAGACCAGAGAGAGGACAGAGAGAGACCAGAGAGAGGACAGAGGGAGAGAGGACAGAGAGAGACCAGAGAGAGAGGACAGAGAGAGGACAGAGAGAGGACAGAGAGAGACCAGAGAGAGGACAGAGAGAGGACAGAGAGAGGACAGAGAGAGACCAGAGAGAGACCAGAGAGAGAGGACAGAGAGAGACCAGAGAGAGACCAGAGAGAGAGGACAGAGAGAGGACAGAGAGAGGACAGAGAGAGACCAGAGAGAGACCAGAGAGAGGACAGAGAGAGGACAGAGAGAGACCAGAGAGAGGACAGAGAGAGGACAGAGAGAGACCAGAGAGAGAGGACAGAGAGAGGACAGAGAGAGACCATAGAAAGAGGACAGACAGAGGACAGACAGAGGACAGAGAGAGACCAGAGAGAGACCAGAGAGAGACCAGAGAGAGAGGACAGAGAGAGAACAGAGAGAGGACAGAGAGAGGACAGAGAGAGGACAGAGAGAGAGGACAGAGAGAGGACAGAGAGAGGACAGAGAGAGAACAGAGAGAGACCAGAGAGAGAGGACAGAGAGAGGACAGAGAGAGGACAGAGAGAGACCAGAGAGAGACCAGAGAGAGGACAGAGAGAGGACAGAGAGAGACCAGAGAGAGACCAGAGAGAGAGGACAGAGAGAGGACAGAGAGAGGACAGAGAGAGAGGACAGAGAGAGGACAGAGAGAGACCAGAGAGAGGACAGAGAGAGACCAGAGAGAGACCAGAGAGAGAGGACAGAGAGAGATCAGAGAGAGAGGACAGAGAGAGGACAGAGAGAGAGCAGAGAGAGACCAGAGAGAGACCAGAGAGAGAGGACAGAGAGAGAGCAGAGAGAGACCAGAGAGAGACCAGAGAGAGGACAGAGAGAGACCAGAGAGAGACCAGAGAGAGAGGACAGAGAGAGAGCAGAGAGAGACCAGAGAGAGACCAGAGAGAGACCAGAGAGAGGACAGAGAGAGACCAGAGAGAGACCAGAGAGAGACCAGAGAGAGAGACCAGAGAGAGGACAGAGAGAGGACAGAGAGAGAGCAGAGAGAGACCAGAGAGAGACCAGAGAGAGGACAGAGAGAGAGAGAGACCAGAGAGAGACCAGAGAGAGACCAGAGAGAGAGACCACAGAGAGACCAGAGAGAGACCAGAGAGAGACCAGAGAGAGGACAGAGAGCGACCAGAGAGAGACCAGAGAGAGACCGGAGAGAGACCGGAGAGAGACCAGAGAGAGACCAGAGAGAGGACAGAGAGCGACCAGAGAGAGACCAGAGAGAGACCAGAGAGAGGACAGAGAGAGAGAGAGACCAGAGAGAGACCAGAGAGAGAACAGAGAGAGGACAGAGAGAGGACAGAGAGAGACCAGAGAGAGAGGACAGAGAGAGACCAGAGAGAGACCAGAGAGAGGACAGAGAGAGACCAGAGAGAGACCAGAGAGAGACCAGAGAGAGACCAGAGAGAGAACAGAGAGAGGACAGAGAGAGGACAGAGAGAGACTAGAGAGAGACCAGAGAGAGGACAGAGAGAGGACAGAGAGAGGACAGAGAGAGAGGACAGAGAGAGACCAGAGAGAGGACAGAGAGAGAACAGAGAGAGAACAGAGAGAGAGGACAGAGAGAGGACAGAGAGAGGACAGAGAGAGACCAGAGAGAGGACAGAGAGAGGACAGAGAGAGACCAGAGAGAGAGGACAGAGAGAGGACAGAGAGAGACCAGAGAGAGACCAGAGAGAGAGGACAGAGAGAGATCAGAGAGAGAGGACAGAGAGAGGACAGAGAGAGAGCAGAGAGAGACCAGAGAGAGACCAGAGAGAGAGGACAGAGAGAGAGCAGAGAGAGACCAGAGAGAGACCAGAGAGAGGACAGAGAGAGGACAGAGAGAGAGCAGAGAGAGACCAGAGAGAGACCAGAGAGAGACCAGAGAGAGGACAGAGAGAGACCAGAGAGAGACCAGAGAGAGAGCAGAGAGAGGACAGAGAGAGACCAGAGAGAGACCAGAGAGAGACCAGAGAGAGACCAGAGAGAGGACAGAGAGAGACCAGAGAGAGACCAGAGAGAGAGGACAGAGAGAGATCAGAGAGAGAGGACAGAGAGAGAGCAGAGAGAGACCAGAGAGAGACCAGAGAGAGAGGACAGAGAGAGAGCAGAGAGAGACCAGAGAGAGACCAGAGAGAGAGACCAGAGAGAGACCAGAGAGAGACCAGAGAGAGAGACCAGAGAGAGACAGAGAGAGACCAGAGAGAGACCAGAGAGAGAGCAGAGAGAGAGCAGAGAGAGAGCAGAGAGAGAGCAGAGAGAGGACAGAGAGAGACCAGAGAGAGACCAGAGAGAGACCAGAGAGAGGACAGAGAGAGACCAGAGAGAGACCAGAGAGAGACCAGAGAGAGGACAGAGAGAGGACAGAGAGAAACCAGAGAGAGGACAGAGAGAGGACAGAGAGAGACCAGAGAGAGACCAGAGAGAGACCAGAGAGAGACCAGAGAGAGACCAGAGAGAGACCAGAGAGAGACCAGAGAGAGACCAGAGAGAGACCAGAGAGAGGACAGAGAGAGGACAGAGAGAGACCAGAGAGAGACCAGAGAGAGAGCAGAGAGAGAGCAGAGAGAGAGCAGAGAGAGAGCAGAGAGAGACCAGAGAGAGACCAGGGAGAGGACAGAGAGAGACCAGAGAGAGACCAGAGAGAGACCAGAGAGAGGACAGAGAGAGGACAGAGAGAGACCAGAGAGAGACCAGAGAGAGAGGACAGAGAGAGATCAGAGAGAGAGGACAGAGAGAGGAGAGAGAGGACAGAGAGAGACCAGAGAGACCAGAGAGACCAGAGAGACCAGAGAGAGACCAGAGAGAGAACAGAGAGAGGACAGAGAGAGAACAGAGAGAGGACAGAGAGAGGACAGGGGGAAGGGAGAGAGAAGCGACTGAGGAAGGAGGACCAAAGAGAGAAAGGACAGGTAGCAATGTGGTTAACATTGTGCCTCACAGCAGGAAGGTCCTGGACTCACTTCCACCTCCAGACGAGGCCTTTCTGTGAGGAGTTTGCATACAGTGCCTACTGTGTCCCTAGTTTTCCTCCAGGTGCTCCGGTTGGAGGGTTGTGAATGTGACTGTGGGACTACAGATGATCATTCACTACACAAAGCTACAATCTGGTGTATTTACAATTACTCCTGTTCAGTAACACACACAGCCCCATGCCCATAAACAAATACATGTGCATACAAAGAGAGAGAGAGGAGACCAAGGAGAGAGAGGAGAGAGAGGAGAGGGAGGAGAGTGAGAGAGAGAAGAGACCCAGGAGAGGGAGGAGAGTGAGAGAGAGGAGACCCAGGAGAGGGAGGAGAGAGAGAGAGAGAGGAGACCCAGGAGAGGGAGGAGAGAGAGAGAGGAGACCCAGGAGAGGGAGGAGAGTGAGAGAGAGAGGAGACCCAGGAGAGGGAGGAGAGTGAGAGAGAGAAGAGACCCAGGAGAGGGAGGAGAGTGAGAGAGAGGAGACCCAGGAGAGGGAGGAGAGAGAGAGAGGAGACCCAGGAGAGGGAGGAGAGTGAGAGAGAGAGGAGACCCAGGAGAGGGAGGAGAGAGAGAGAGAGAGGAGACCCAGGAGAGGGAGGAGAGTGAGAGAGAGAGGAGACCCAGGAGAGAGAGGAGAGAGAGAGAGAGAGAGAGAGAGAGACCCAGGAGAGGGAGGAGAG